GGAGAGCCCCCTGCTCCGGGCCCAGCTGACCATCTGGCTCCGTCCAGCCCGGCCCGGGACTCTCGGGGGGCCTTGAAAGGCAAGGGCTGGGGTCGTGTGGCGTGTGGTGTGGTGAGGGCTGGTGTGTGGCACGTACGAAGGGGGCAGAGCTCTGGGCACACAACACTCTGGAAAGGGAGCCAGACCTCCAGACCGAGGGTTGCTGCGTGGTCTAGCGTTTCCCAGGAGGGACAAGAAAAGATGCAACACGGGCCCCCACAAAGCTGACCCTTTGGGGTGGGGATGGGGCGAAGAAGAGTAGCTCCTGGCCCACTATGGATGAGGATCTTTGGGTCCTGGTGGAGGGCCTCAATGTGCCCCACCGAGGGCGCCTCTAAGCCTCCACCCACACCAGGGTTTTAGAGGGGGAGCAAGAAGTTTCCGAGCGTCAGTGAAAAGCCCGTCTCCCCAGCTTCAGCCTCCAGCTCTACAGGGGTCCAGCCTCTCTCCTGCCTCTCGCTCTGGAGGCTGCCGGGGTGTCGCTCCTGCACTTGAAGGCCATCGTGTGGCTGTCCTGTCAGAAGAAAGCCTGATGGTGGTTAAGATTTTACAGAAAGTAATTAGGGCTTAGACTGAACGAACATTTGCAATAAAAGACGGTTGTGTTAGTATAATGCTGGTGCCTGCAAATTTACCCCGCCAAGGCCAGGAAATTATGCCACGTTTCCCTGAACACCTATAACTCGGCCCCCCTGTGTGCAGGCTGTATTCCATATTATTACGTGCGGTGCTGATTTTTAATGAATATTATAAAACTTTGACTCGCTCTACTGAGAGAAGGATCATAAATCCCCCCTGTAAAATGGGCCCTGGCATGTGCTGAGGAAGCAGTGAAGCGCTGCCCTGGGAGCCCTGTGATATCAGCCAAAGTGTTGCTCTGAACCACCTTCGTGTGAAGACAGTTTTAAAAGGCCCCATTTTGAATGTCAGTGTGGAAAGCTAAGCGATGGTGAAAAGGAAGCTGAAGGGTCAAGTTCATTTTTTTTTTAACAGCATAGCAGAGCCCCACTGGGTGATTTTCTCTGCTCACCTCTCCAGTTTTCAGGTGAGGAAAAGTCTCAGAGCTGGGTGCCCTGACTGGGAGTCTGGGGCCCTTTTTGATGGAGCACCCTGCTTCTGAGGTCCCTGTCTGGCCTCCTGACAAGGACAGAGAATACTGATGCCTGGTCTGCCCTGGTGAGGCCAGTTCTTAGAATCTGATGGATGGTGATGTTTCTGTATTCATCATTCTTGTAAGTATGTGGGTGTCAATGTGATAACTTTATGCATTTTAATAAGCACTGCTACATGTTTTTCTCACAAGAGCCAGGCTTGAGAAGATCCCTAAGAGTGTCATGTAAATTCATTTCTTTTCAAGCAGCTGCCTGGCTGTGAGTGGAATTGGGCACATCAGCATTGGGGAAGGGGTGGTGGGGAGAGATGCTGCTGCAAGCTGACCTTGCCACCTTGTTTCTGGTCCCAAGTGGATATAACAAAGGCTATGTGGTCATTTCAGTTCACTTGCCAAAGATGCAAACCGGAGCATTTTCAGTTTGAAATCCTTAAGTATGAGATGGGACAGCAATTAGAGATGAAAAAAACCCGAATGCAACCATGATAGGTTGTATTACCTACTCATTCAAGGAGGTTGAATTAGGACTAGTTGACTTTGAAGACCACATCCAGTGCTGCAATCATGTGCCTCTGTGGCTGGGAATATGACAAAATCTTTGCCTTAGAGGAGCTTAAAGTCCAGTAGGGGGTTAATTCTTTCATTTTATTTTCAAATTTAGAAGTGGGTTATTTGAGTTAAATCCTGTAAAACATATTCAGAATGATATGAACTTAGGGTGGTAAGTCAAGTACTGGACACTGTTTTAACAGTGTGACCACAGAGAGGAGGCTGTAGTCAGCCTTAGCACCCTCGTTGAGAATGTTTGCTGGCCATTCCCGGGTTTGTGGTGCTGCTCTGGGCACTTCAGGCATTTACAATGAGAAACAGATGCAGGTCCTTCCTTCTGTGTATTCATGGCAGTAACTTGAGTAGAGGTCAACTTATTTCCCATGCCTGTAACAGTCAACCTTCTCCGATATACTTTTCCTGCATAATTACATGTGTTTGCTGGTCCAGAACATGGACTTCATCTGTAATACATTTCTAAGCAGGATATAATTTCCAAGACGATAACTTTGTATGATAGCATTGAAGTCCATAAACTTTATTTCTATAAATCACCTTGATTTTATAAAATAGGAAAAATTAAAATATCCTGGAAACAACAAGAGGAGGAGAGGAAGACGAAAGAAGCAAGCAGTTCTGGGGTCTTCAATTTTCTTGCTCCCTAGCATCCTGTTACAGTATCTGATGATGTAGGCAAAATAGTAGGCAGAATTTTAAATGTGGTACCTTGAGTAAGACATAGCAGAGCAAAGTTAGCAGCCAATGAGAGAGATCAGAGTGGGATGTTTAGAGGGAGAATGCCAAAGCCAGGTGGAGCCAACATAGTGAAGGAAGTTCATAGTGAAGGAAGAAACTGAATTTTACTCATTGGAAGAATTCCTCAGAATTATAACTAAGGTTTATTATTTAAAACCCAGAGGTTTTGAAGTGTACCTTAGCCATTAAACCTCAGCTAGTATGGCACTGGTGACACTTGGGAGAACTGATGAAATTTGAATAATTTCAAGTGGTGATTTGTTCAACAATTGTTGAGCCACCTCTTATGTAGCAGGTGCTGTTCTACAAGGTGGGATGTAGAATTCTTAAGTTAGTGATGACATTGGGATGAAGAGGGAGACAGATAGTAAGCCTCTCCTATCTATCTATCTATCTATCTATCTATCTATCTATCATCTATCTATCTATCTATCTATCTATCATCTATCTATCTATCTATCTATCTATCTATCTATCTATCATGTTATCACATATCATGTAGGGTATGGAGGTGAAGAGAGCTGTGAAAGCAAAGTAAGGAGCTCAGGAGTGACAGGGGTCTGGCTATTTTAGATGGGGTGTTTGGGTCAGGGAAGACATCCCTGAGGAGAGGACATTGAGCAGAGATAGGAAGGAAGTTGTGGGACGAGTTCTGTAGCTATATTGGGAGAAATCTTTTTAGGTATGAAGAAAAGCAAGCGCAAAGGTCCTGGGGTAGATTAAACTTGGCATGCTCCAGGGACAGCAAAGAGGTAACTGTGTTTAATGCAGAAGAGCTAGAAGATGACTAGCAGGAAATGATGCCAGAGGGATATCCAACAGGCTTATTATATTTTAGGGGGAAATGGATGACATTTATCTGGGTTTCTTTAGAGAAAGGACATGACCTGGCCTTGACTCCTAAAAGAGCATCCTGTGTGTTCAGTGGATGGAAGTACAAGAGTGGAAGCCCAGAGACCAAGTAGAGGAATAGAAATAGACTAAAAAAGAGGTGATGGTAATTTAGACTACAATGATAACTGTAAATAGAATCTAGATATATATTCAAAATAAACCAGACAGGACTTACTAATTCAATTGTGGGATATGAGAGAAAGAGGAGTCAAAGGAAATTATGGATTTTGGTCTGATCAGGTGATGATGGCGATTCTACTTACTGATATGAGGAGGAGCAGGTATGTGGGGAAAGCTCCGGTGTTTGGGTTTGGATATAGTAACTTTCTGATGCCCATCAGACATCTAAGTGGAAAAGTTGAACAGGCAATTAGACATGGGAATCTGAACTTCAGGAGAGAGGTCCAGACTAGAGATAGAAATCTGTGTGTCATCAGCATAGAGAATCTGGGAACATGGGTAGGGAAGACAAGAAATCTGAGGATTGAGATCTGGGGCACTCTAACGTTTAGAGGCCAGAAGATGAAGAAAAGAAGAAGAGAAAAGGGAATGTTTTGAGAAGCAGAGAGTAATTGGTTGTGCCAATGCTGCTGATGGGTCAAATAAGATGAAAACACATCACTGACTTTTAAATTTGATGTCTTTGACAGAAAGGAGTGGTAGGGACTAACCCTGCTAGAGTGGGTTTGAGAGAGGGAGGGCGAGGAAGTGGAGGCAATGGGTGTAGACCGCTCTTTAGAGGAGCTTTGCTATGAAAGAGAAAATGGGGAAATAGGTAGAGGGTCCTGTGAGAAATTAGAGCTTGGTGAGAATAGTCCTGTCAAGAGGGGAAAACAGTTGATGTAAAGAGGAGGGATAACTAGGGGAGTGAAGTGCTGGAGTCAGAGAGTGAGCCTTATTTAAGGGGGAGGGCTGGTTCATCCCTAGCAACATGGGGGAAGTTATGGTGGGGACGGGCGGGGAGGCTGGATGGTGGTGGTGGGAAATGTGGGGTGTTCGTGTCTGAGTGATTCTGTTTTCTTAGTGGACTAAGAAGTGAGATCATCAGCTGATGGTGGAGGAGGGAAGGCTGTGGGAGAGAGAAAAGATGTCAACTAGCGCAGGGGCAAGCAGGGCTGTGGGGCAGCACAGAGAAAATTGAGGGTTTTTACTAGAATCTATAGGCAAGCCACTGCCAAGAAAATTCATTTCTTATTGT